AAAAAAAAAAAAAAAAAAAAAAAAAAAAAGAGGTAATATAACTTGCCCAAAGTCCCACAAGAGGGAAAATGGATTCTCCAACTCAAGCCTTAGTAATAGAAATCCTGGCTTTCTTCTATAATCACATGGCAACAAGTTAGCAACTCTACTGTCTCCATGGTATGTAATGATTCTGAACTAAAGGCTATTTCAAAGATAATAGCTGTTATATATTATGTAGCAGTTATCAGGGCTGGAGGTTACCTAAGTGATACCTTGGCGCTTACCTAGCAAGCACAATCCTACATTCAATCCTCAGCACCAAGGGAAAAAAATAACAACTATTACTTAAAACACAGGATTTTAAAAACTGGAATCAGGACCTTTAAGACCTACCTTCTCAGTAACATACTGGCAGTGTTCCAAGTCATGCTCTCCATCAGGAATTACCTCTGGTTCAACAATAGGTACCAGCCCATTCTAAAAGAAAAATAAAATAAAATAGAGTCAAGGGAAGGACAAAAGTGAAACTGTGCTCACTGTGAACCTTTCCTTAGGAGCAAGCAGATTCAACAGAGGCGATTAGTAAGAAAGAAGTCTTTATGGAGAAACGCTATGTGGGTAAGTTAAATTGGTAAAAAAAACTGATAGAATATCTAGTGAGCATCTATGGCTTAGTCAAAAAAGAACAGTGAAGTTAAATAAAAGTTTTTCATGAATGGAGCAAAAAATTAAAATAATCTCTTAATTTCTATATCATATTATATAGATTATTCTAGCTACCTCAGAAACTAGCTGCCATCCTATTAGAACAGTCAAGTTTAAATTACTGAGAAAGATGCTTCTGGGTAGGAAATTCAAGCAGAGTTTACACTTCTAATTGGGAACTTCCAGGTGCCCACAACTTTGGCACCCAACATAGTACCCACAGAAACAAATCAAACTTAGCTTTGATACAGAGATACTTTAGGATAAGCTGGTTGAAAAACTTAGCATCAAGTCACCAACCTCCAAGAAATTATTTCGATCAGGACTAGGGATGTAGGAGAAATCCCTAGTAATTTAGCCCCAGGAGAAGGCAGAGCACCTGTTGACAAATACTGGCATAGCGGGCCAGGGCATTGGCATTTTCCTGGATAGCGAGGCTGGAGGGACACTGGTCCGCAATTCTCAGCACGGCACGCCACTTCCCAAAGTCACAGCCATCTTTCTTGTACTGAGCACAACGCTCAGAGAGGCCATCAAGCCCTGCAAGTCGCAAAGAGAAAAAGTCTTCTTTCAACATTTGTGTGGCCTCTGGTGAAATGAAAGACTTCTTCCCTGGATTGGCTCTCTGTCCACAAGCCTTAGGACTGGCCACACCCAAGCAAATAAGCATTCATCCCACTGCTGGGCCAAAAGACCTAGATTTAATCAATATGTTTTGATGTCCATATTGGATACTCCATAAGTAGAATAGAGGGCACACTAATAGTTAATATGAAACTCATTTTACAGAATTAGAAACCACAGCTTCACATCAGCTTCACATGTGGTTAAGTGATTGTTTTCATAAAGTTTGAACAGCTCTAGCATGATAGAGCTGGAATTCAATTTCTGCTTAGCTAACCCTATGCTGTGATTAATCATTATCTTCTTGGGCAGAAGTACCTTGTAAAATTATCTATGTAGCATGTAATAGAACAAAGGTTCAAACCCAGATCTGTCTTATCCCCAAACCCAGGGCCTTTCCTCTATATTGCTGCTGGGTTTTTCTTTTAAAATAATAGTTCAAGGTACAGAGTATCTTCTCTGTTCAAGGTGTGACAGTAGCCATTACATTATCTAATGTAATCCCCACAACTCTCTAGCCAGCTATTGTTATCGTTACTTTAAGGTAAGAGAATTAAGCTCAAAACACTTAAATGGCCACCCCAAGATTAAATGATCCTCCTTTCAATTGGGATTGAAAGCTAAAGCATGGATGGCTCTAGAAGTAGAGTAATATTCATATTTTGTTTTCCCTTCCTACTTTACCTACATTGTTTGTAGCCTATATGGTGTTGACTCATATTAGTAAATAGTATCCTTACCTTGAATGGTGGTTTCTTTGTTTGTTCCTGCAAGGGGGGCACTTCCTTGGTCTAACTGTGAATATAAATAATAAGTAATTAGCAATTAGCAAGTGTCAGATATCAATAGAACACAAGAAGAGCACTTGGTGCTTTTCTGATCTTTTGCAAACCAAGGACTGAATTAAGAAAGTAACAGTAACAGTAGTAGACACAATTCATTCCACTACAGCAGAAGAGATGTTACCTAGAAGGAACAATTGTAATAATGTCATTCCTAATATTTACTGAGTATTTCAGCTGACAGGCTATGTGTTTGGATAGGAGGTAAAGAGAATAAGGATGTAGACTTTACTCTCAAAACAGCCAGTATTAAGGCCACAAACCCATGAGTTAGCCTGATTATAGGCAAATTAGCTACTCTTTAGAGTGCAGTTTTTCTTACCCATCTCTAAATTAGGAACAGTAACTGAGTCTCCTCCAAGAGGTGGTGCAGAGGATTAAATGAGTGCTAGTAACTGTAAACACTCAATGAATGCTGGTTTTGATGCAGTATTGGAAGACCTAGTTAGAAAATAGAACAGTAAGTACTTTAATAAAAATAGCTACTGCTAACTAATTGGTTATGTGATAGAAAATACTTTAAAAACTGATTTCATCCTTATAATAACTTTATGAGGTTGGTACTAATACTTTTGCCTTAAGAAATGAGCAAATAGAGATGAAGAGAGGTTAAATATCTTATGGAAAACTTGGTTGAAAGATGAGAACAAGGGAAGAAAAGTATAGGAGAAGATCTGGCTTTCCATGGGAAGGCGATGAAGGAAATGAGTGAGAAATGACGTGATGAGTATGCTAAGTATCAGCCGTGCCCTGGCGGTGGGCCTGTGAGGAGGCAGAGGTGAAGTGGGAGCAGAAGTATTCACCTTGATGCCCACCACAATCCCCTTCTCCTTGAGGATGTTTCTGAACAGAGTTCCCTGGCTGTCCTTCTGGTACAGAGTCTCATGGAAAAGGATCACTCCCCCAATGCTCTTGTTGATGGAATTGTCCACAGAGAAGAGAATTTCTCGGAACTGCCGCCGGTTCTCTTCGGTATTTTCTACCTTGATCCTCTGCAAGCGATTCCCCATGGTGCCTAAGCAGGGTGGACCAAAGGCAGTGTAAGAAATAAGCCAGGACTTTCCTATGGCCCATTTTTGCCTTCAGTCATGAAAAGCAAGACCTTTTCTTTAAAATTCAAATCTTCAACACTCCTGATTAGTTTTTGTCTCCAGGAGGAAGACTTTGGTTACTGCCATGGTGCTGGCTAGGAGGTACAGTGGTTGCAGATGAATGTGGAAAGCCCTTGGGCCTCTTTAGACCTCTCCTGATCCAGACGAGGAGTCTGTACAGTGGAAGGGGGAATGGCACAGGCTGTGGACTTTAGATCCTACGTTTGGAGTAGCGGGGCAAGCTGGCCACGATTCTTCCCATGCCATAATGGGATTCCTTCAGCCACAAACCCTCCCCTAATCCACATGCAGATCCGTCTCTGCCATTCCTGACTGAGCTGACTTTATACTGACCTCATTAGGCGCAAATGGCCACATAGCTGATCTCACTAGTTACTGAGTTCCTGGCCTTGCTACAGTCTGTATTCAAATGACCCTTAGCAAGGACCTATTGCAGGGATATAGCCTCTTTCTTTGGTTTTTCAGAATCTGCCTAAAAAAAAAAAAACAAGACTCAAAATGTGGAAGTAGAGAGGCAGAGAGACTCACATTCACTGAGTCTTCTTCTCTTGCTCATGTGTATATAATCATTTAAAAGGAAGCAGGATGATCGATCATCCAGTTGCTTTTCCTAACTGTAGAAACAAGAGTACACTATTATATGACACAGCTGTTTCTCACACTTACCCACAGATTCATCTGCAGCCAGGATGCCCTTTCCATTGGCAACAATGCGCTGGGCAATTTCCGAGAGCTCCTTCTTCTGTTCTGGGGTGAGGGCTGGAAATCGATGAGCCATGGTGACAGGTCTGGAAAAAAGTGTAGGAGAACCATGCAGAGAGATGTAGTTGGCTCAGATAGATTCATATCTAAGCTGATAAGGATGGGCTATAGAGGCCCCTCTGATACTTCTGGCCCATTTCAGTAACTGGATAAACAAATGGTATCTGTTTTATTTTTCCTTTGCCTAAGTAGTTGCAATTAGTCACATTGGACAAATAAGTCATGCCAAATGTTTCTAGTGGCTTGAAACAGAATGACTTCCAGGAGATCTTATGAAGCTGACCCAGATAATTAGTGACCCACTAAAATAGAGGAAGTTTTAGTATGGACTAGCTCTCTGTTGTGTGGATTCCTGGTCTCACGTGGTATCTTCAATGCCTTGAGATCAGGACAATGAGGTTTTAGCCTCTGTGGTTATCTCGCACTTCATTCTATTAAACTGTAGTCCCAGCAGATCATTCTTTAGGCAATAAATTTGAGAGGAAAAATCCATAGTTAGTCTTGAAGTTAACTTCACTTTAGTTTTAGACCATAGAGGGTGCAAGGCTTGTTTTTCTTATAGTCAGTGTAGAAAAGACCACACTTTTCCCTAACCGCCTCTGAGCTGAGGTTTCTCCTGGACTGTGAAGATGATGTAGTTGTCTGCTCCAATAATTCACAGCTTTACTGCTTTAGTTGAGGATAGACTAGCTCGAAGATTCACTACCCATGCATCCTCCTCAGAAATAGTTCTTTATAAGGGAGCATTGTTCCTGTTTGGTTGGCAAATTTTGGTTTCTGAATGATTTTTGCATAGGTTGAACTATCAAAAGAAAAATTGTAGTGAAGATTATTTTGAGTAGCTTCCCATCCAATCCTGTGGTCTTCTCTTTTCACTGAGCTTCTCCCCTCTAATACTTTCAATATAGGGTGGATGCCCTGTCTGCATGCCTAGATTAGTACGAATTAAATGGTGATAATATTGGCTGTGGTGGTCTCATGGCCAAGTGACTCAAATGCAATCCTATGTGAGCATAGGATATCCTATACCTTCCACACTTTCTGGAAGCACAGGAACACTCCAGTTCTCATTTGATCCCCTCAGCAGTGAGGTGATTATGACAAGTATTATCTTCATTAAGTAATGAGCAAGGCTAAGACTTAGAGGAGTTAACAGATTTACCCAAACTCATAGGTGGAGTGAAACAGAGCTCCATTCTCAGTTTTGCCCTTCATGAACTTATTTCTTTACAGTTTACGTCTCTCTCTTCCGGGCAGGCTCTCAGTAATCTATCCCTTGATATAAAGAAGCTACAGCTACTGAACTAATTCAAGTGAAACTATAACCAATGACTTCATTGTTGCTACTCTTCACTTCAACAGAGGTTCTTGCTTTATCCCAAAAGAATGGAACCATAATTTTGTCGTTGGAACACTAGGATAAGGTAGTGAGTGACAATTCCTGGAGAAACTCTATCGCATCCCAGCCACAGGCAGATGGTGTTGCACTGTTTATACATAGCTACTCATCTTATAGTCAGGAATTTTAAGCTTTGACTTGGACTCCAAACCACCATGCTGACAAATACAAACCATGGTACAATTTTTTCCTCACAGTTCTGGTATTTGCAAAAAAGTGTGACAATTAGCAAAAATAAGGATTTTTTCCTTAATAAAATAAAAGTAACAATACTCCAATAACAATAAAAGTTATCATTTGCTGTCAAGCATACTAATTGCTACATAGGCATCATATAATTTATTCCTCACAATAATCCTGGAAATCGGTTGAGCTCTGTGGCCCTTTCTCTTCATAGATTAGGAAAGACTATAAAATATTTTAAATTATTTGTCCAAAGACAAGTGTCTAATAAGACACAGTATTGACAGACAGGGTTACTCTTCCTTCTATTCAAAATAAAAAATGAGCTTCGTAAAAGAAATTGGCCTTGAGATTACTAAAGTCCTTGATAACAATCCCAAAGTAACTTAAGCTATGAATCATTACACCACAGACATTATCGATTCAAAGCATCTCACATTCACACAGAGATTTGCTGCTGCGATATTAGACAGATCTGGGTTCAAAGACTACTTCTGACTCTCCTACCTGGAACTTTGGTCAAATCATGCAACTTCTCTGCATCTAAATTTACTATGAATTAAATGGTGATGATGTGTTTGTCTTATTGCCAAGTGACTCAAGTGTAACCTGTGAGCATTCTGTTCACTGTAGTTCTGTAGTTTTTTGAATTGCATGATAGACATGAAGATGCTTTATAAAACACTATAAAATGCAAATTATTACTATCTGTTTTAACATTTAAAATATAATCACCCAAAGGGTTTCCATTTTTCTCTTTATTCCCAAGCTGTTTTCCTCATTCTAGGTATGCTGACTCAAGCAGAATAACAGAGAAAAGCAAAGTTAAACTTGTACTGTTTACAGCTTAAACTACAGAGGGATTAAAGGTCTGTACCCATATCAGCACAAATGTTGCCCCTCTGTTAATTATAAAACAGAGTCATGGGCCAATGTTCACCACAAGGAGACAGGAGGCCAGCCTGGAGTGGATAATGATAGACAATAATTTCTGTATACCAACCAAGACCTGTCATGTCAAGGTACAAGATCCCAGTAATGAATGTAACTGTACTGTTTACCTAGAATGTACCAATAAACTCAATAAAAAGAAAAAATAATAATTTCTGTGTACCCTAAGCCTCTGGTCATGGAGGTCTCAAGCCAACTTTCTAAAAGAAATTGTGATAAAAAGTTGTTTACACTATTATTATATCACAATATAAACTGTGATGAGAAGTGAAAACCCAGCAAGTTTCAGAGCAATATGCAAAAATTACCTTAACTTTTAATTTAAAGAAAGTATACCCACAATCTGAGAAATAAGATAGGGTGGGGAGACCCTCATTTATACATTCTTTGTAATGTTTAATTTCTTTTCTTTCTGCTTCTTTTTTTTTTTTTTTGTACGAGGAATTGAACTCAGGACCTTGCACTTATGAGGCAGGAGGAAGAACCACTGAGCTAAATCCTCAGCCCCAGTGTTTAATTTCTTAATAAGCAGTTATATACATATATGCATACATATCAAGAAATATATGTGCAAATCTAGGAAAGGGTCATGAATATTAATATATATGAATAGAAAGTAATTACAGAAAAATAGAGCTCAGAGATATCTGAATCAATTCTATCACAAGAGATGAGAAAACTGAGCCTAGGAAGACCCTGTCTGATGCCTTTTCTAAGTTGCAATGTTCTGTAATTGCAACTCACATCCTGCTCACTTGTGATAAAGAATCTTATTTTTAGTTCTTCAGCCAAATGGCTGACGGAGCCCTACAACGTGATTTGTTCTACCTTCCTTACAGAGGTGCTGGGAAAAGATAGTCATTTGCAAAATACAGATGTTTAACTTTCAGAGAAATACTAGGCAGCAGAGCCCATTTGCTTCTTCACGTACAAGGCAGGTGGATTTTCAAGAAGACAAATGTAGAAGGTGTGATTCATTGAAAGCCTATAATTGCCAAGCTCTATATACAGTGCCCTTGTGTATGGATGTGTGAAGAAGTCCATGGCTTTGTTCTGTACCTCAGTGCAGAGAAATAAGTGCAATGAGATGATCTGGGGCAGCTGGAGCGTAGCCTGATTCTTGGTGTCTTTGAATATGTGAGGCAGCCTAGAAAGACCGCAGTGTGGCTTTTTCCTCTAACCTGGCACCTAAAGCCAAAAGAACTCTTGGATGTTTAGAAACTTCACCCTCTTTTCCTGCTCTAGTACCGCTGACTCTGACCTTGGGCTGTTTGTTCCATAGGTGTGGCTTGGCTAAAGTGGTATGAGTGTCATAGAAGCCAAGGTCAAGCCCCTGCTGCATCCAAATGGAGCACAAGGTACTTGTTAAAGAAAAGTTTGTGACAAAGGCAACATGTTCTCCTTACATAACTAGTTTTCAGGTAGTAGAGCAAAATAAATTAGCAGCTTTTGATTCTTAATATCTAAAGCTATCAGGTCTTTATAGGGACTGATGTCCATGAAGAAGGAACTGTCTAAAGCTTCCAGCAAGTGGAGGGTTTGAAAATTCATAATCACATGACAACTATGGTCTGTGAAGTTTCTCAACCTGTTCCGTTTCCTTATTTGAGCAGTGGATGAAGGCAAAGGGCAAAATCCTTGAAGTGTTTATTTCCGTGACAAAGAAACTTCAGTGATAGCACCAGTAGGTATGGGAAAATAATGTGGAAAATGGCATAAGACAATATGTAAGTAAACCATTGCAATAAGTACTTGTTTTGAAAAGTGAGAGTAGAAATAGAAATCTCAAAAATTGACAAGAGTATAATAAAATAGAACTCTTCAAGCATTTTTTCCTAGATCAAAGATTTAAAAGTAACACAGGTAACTAGCAGTCTACTTGGCACATCCTGCCCCCTTCAGGAAATGTATGAATGGGTATTTATGCTTACAGAAATAAAAATAATCATTTCAGCAGACCCGTCCTGTTTTCAGCCATCGTCAAGCTTCTCTTAAAAACAAAGACAAATAAATTTTCCCCTCTACAGGTTTAGTATGACTATTCACTCCTTATTTGCTATAAACTCCAATTATTCAAAGGAAATTCTTTACTTACTCTTTGAGAGAGAAGAGATCTCTTAGATGTCAGAAGCTTAGGGTGAGGTAGAAGCTGCCAAATAGGACGGATCTTTGGGAACACACAGTTTTTATAGATGTCTCATTAAAGTTTTTTTTTTTTTAACTTTTGCCCTCCCCTTCCTACATGGCTGGGTAAGGAGGTGTTTATTGACCACATCTGATTGGCTCATACACAACCAATCCTTATAATCATATTCACACACTTCTTATGCTTATATAGTGTAAAACTACAAAAGTGCCTTTAGATTATGCATTTCCTAATTCAGACTTTGGAAGTGAGAAAATGGGCACAATGGACTGTAAATCCCTAAATTGTGCAGCTAGTGAATGACTGAACTCTAGAGTTTTTCAAGAATGTTAGTTTAGCTCTGTCACTTAGTAAATGCATGAACTTGGTCAGAAGTATCTTATTTTATTTTTGTACTATTCCAAACCTTACTTTTCTCCTCTGTAAAGTGAATCATCACCTTCATAAGAGCACTGAGCCTATAAAATCCTCATACTGTATAGAATAGGCACTCAAGAAATATTATTTGCAAATGGTCAAGCAATGCTGTGTTTTCTTTATCTTCGGTTAGGTATCTTTAACTATTACCATTTTCAAAGCTTATTATTATGTATTTTCAGTATTATATTAGTAGCCAGTCCCAACTAGATACTCTGCAATTTATATTGTAACTATACACTATAGTTCAGTTTGAATGGTCTTTCAATGAAAGACATAATTCTAAATATTTTAATTTCCTATGTGTGAATTTTTTTTTCTTTTTTTTTTTTTTTTTTTTTGTTACTGGGGATTGAACTCGGGTCCTTGCACTTGCAAGGCAGGCCACCGAACTGCTGAGCTAAATCCCCGGCCCTGTGTGAATTTTATTTTGATAGAAAATATTTTTTAAAAAAAGGTCAGTTTCCTGTTTTCTCCCTAATCTCCAAAAATTATACTGGACTCGCTTTGTATATAATGTCAAAAACCACTGCCTTCTACACTATTCTTTTCTTGATAGTAGCTATGCTTTTGACTCCAAAGCTGATAAAAAACAAAGCCATCAGCACCCTCAAATATGGGAACAAGTATGGGTTAATACTACAGATATTTTTTTCTTGAACATTAAACCAATTTATAATTTGGGAAAGTAAATAAAAATATAAATGCTTTATGTAGGAAATAATGAATGATGCAAATAAAAGAAAGGAATCTAAAAACAATAAACTTGTTATAATTACAAGAAAATATAAATTATCTGGAATATATCCCTTTAGAATAACTCATAAAATGGAGAGCAGAGTGAAATAAAACCAACATATTGATGGTGTAGAGACTAATGATATAATCTATTAGTGAAAAGTGAAATATCAATAAAAAAAGGGAGAAGAAGCAGAGAATTAGGTTTTCTGGTGTTAAAGCTCAGACAGCTCCTAAAAATAGGAAGTGTTGGACTTTGAGTGTGAGTACTGATGGAAATCAAGGTGTCTGAAACAAAAAATTGAGGCTTATCTAGCCAGGGAAGTTTTGACCAAGGCCTTTCCTAAGAATGGGAAAAGGCTAGACAAGATAAAGTCCCGTCAGCCCTCTTGACTCCATCTGTCATCTAATCTCATACTTTTGATTCCCCCATTTCCACCTGATGCTTATTCAAACACGTGGGAGTTGACCACGAGACCAAGGGGACCTGATCTGAAGATGTGAGGTTTTGTCATACATGATTTTTGTTAAAATAGAATGGAAGCAGGAGTTCTACAGAATGATGAAAGAGTGGGGAGTGAGTGCGGTGATAGCTATGGGGGGGCCAAAGCTGGAATGGTCAGAGATATAGCTAAAACATTCCACCTGCCAACAGGTGCTACTAGTACTAGTTATTTTTGCTATAACAGTGACAATAACAATAGCATCTTTCTTTTTGAGACTCTGTGATGCACTTGGTTCTTTTTATACATAATCTTCAACCTCAGTAATCTCTATGGAGAGTTTGATCACTCCTATTTTATATGTAAAGAAACTAGTTCAAAGAAGGCAGGTAGTTGTCCAAAGTCACAGGACAGGTATGTGGAGAGTCTGTCTTACTCCTAGTCAACGATCAAAAGCAGATCTGTTTATATTATGGTAACGACAGACAGCATAGGTTAGCTCTTTTCCTCTCCTTCTCTCAGTAGTTTATAACCTTGGACATTAAACTTGCATTAATCAGAGAGGAATGACTTACGTCGGCAGAGCTGGGTGTCCCTGGTCATGCCGGGCATTGTTTCACGTGAACAGCAGCCTGGCCAAGAATGTCAGAGGAGCATGAGTACACCTGCCCCTGAGCAGGCTGGTGCCCCTGTGGCATCAGCATTTGCCCACCTCCAGGGCTTGATGAACATCAGAAACTCAAAGTCTCAAAGTTCAGGAAAGCAAAACTAAGGGCCTTTTCTGGCATGGTTTAGTTTTGTTTGATTTGGTGTGGTCAGGGGATTATTGTCTTTTAAGTCTACTATTTTGTAAAATTTTCAAAATGTTCTTCATATCATGTTATGTAAAAAGCCCATGGCCCCTTGAATCTGTGAAATACTGGGGAATTTTACATTCTTTTTGGACCATAGTTTTATCATCTGTGAAAAGGGTTCGTAATGACTCCATCAGAAACTGATTAAGAAGCATGAATGAAATAACCTGATGAATCTAGCACAAAGTAAAGTTTTACTAAGTAGCTGGATCTGAATGTGTAACTCTGACTTAGAGGTCTCCAATTGTAGATATTTTAAGAGGCAATATGATGATATTATTCATGAAAATTACTATCAGTACCTCCAGCCACAGGCCTTTTATTCTCTACTTTCTGACCCATTCCAACTACTTCTGGTACGACTGTGTACGTAAGTCAGTTAACAGGCTATCTGTTAAATGTATTCACGCACAGCAAGAAGTATGAGTCTGCAAACAAACTTGTACATGCAAGTAAAATCTCATGTGTCATAAAGTTATACTCACTATAGTATCAGTGATACTTTGGAGAAAGAACTTTGATAAAAGGGGGCGGCATCTACATAATGCAACTTGAAATATTTGTTGCTGGAATTTAAAAAGATTTGTTTTACTCTGAGATACAAGTATTTCCTTATTGTACTGCTATCTACTTTGGTGGCTCAGATGGTTTCAAGACTTTGAAATCAGTAGTCACTATTTTCATCATAAAGAAATCATACAATTCACTTTCTAAAAAAAAAGCTCAGAATCATGGGTTATAAATGGTTTTAAAGCACAAAACAATCTCAGGGAAATATAGGAATAGAAGAATCAAGTTTTGCTTTACCTTTATTCATCCCAAAGTTTTTAATTGCTAAGAAATCTGAATTCTACGTTCTAAGAAGACTAGAATGCCTACGTAAATTCTAGTACCTCAGGTAAGTGAGTTTAAGAATATCCCTATTCTAGGGCTTAGAAATACCACTTCCTTTTATACTAGGTAGTAAAACTAAAGCTTAAAATGGAGAAGGAACTTTCATAAAAAGGTGTCATATCTGCACCATTGCAATTAAAAGAATCATGGAATTTAAAAATACATTTCCAATCTGTGATCCACGTGTTACCTTAATTATACTGTTATCTGCTTTGGTTGTTGAAATGCTTTTTGACTCTGAAATCAGAGGTCTTTAAGAATTTAACATTTCCCTTCATCAAGAATTTCAGGGGCTGGGGATTTAGCTCAGTGGTTCGGTGGCCTGCCTTGCAAGTGCAAGAACCCGAGTTCAATCCCCAGGACCAAAAAAAAAAAAAAAAAAAAAGAATTTCAGATTTTTCACATTTCAGGAAATTTGAAGAAGAATGATTAGGAAACAATTTCAAAATTACTAAGGAACCAGTATTTATCTGACAGGAAAATGCTACACCGAGTCTTCAGAAGCCATCAGTTAGCATGTACCCATATCCCCTTGTGTTGGGTTATTTACCATCCAGTCAGTGTTTTCTCTTTTCCTTTTGCTCAATCATCTCAAAGTCCAACTTATTCCCCTCACTATCTAATCAGGTTGTTGGTTACTTATGTCATTTATGACCCTCAGCCTAATATTTCTTGCAATAATCCTTATCTCTTTGGTAAAAGTGTTGGCCTTTAGGTGGAAAGACATTGTGTACTAGAGAAAAAAAATACTCAGATGAAGAAGCATGAGGTCTAGATGCTGGGGCAAGGCCTGACCCCGACTTAGCCACAGGACTGAAGAAAGTCATGTCCTCCCCATTTCCCTTTCATTGATGTAAAAAGTGGGCTTAATTAACAATAATCATTCCTGCTGATTTTACTGTGCTTTTGCATTGGTCAACTACAGAGTCCACTAAAAAATGTGTACACACTTCAGGAAAAGAAAAATAGTATGATTTTTTAAACAGATGCCTTACACTCACATGTGGGACCCTAAAGGGTGTCATATATCACAGAAAATCCACTACACTGCTGGCTCTGAGAGGAGAAATTGAAAATCCATGTTCATCCATCTCTATTACCAAGGTTACCCAAGCAACAACTCACAATACTAATAAATGTCTGAAAGCTAATGGCCACCACTTTGAGCATTTCTTTTAATTTTAGAGGCCAAAGGTAACTTGTATTAATCTTATGATGTCTCGATAAATTTAGTATTTAAATATCTATACAAGTTTTTCTTTTCCTGAAATGAGTATATATTTTTTTGGTGGATTCTCTATATAATCTACTTGAGTGCTTTGAAAACTACACAATTGTAAAGTGTTATAAACCACATTACTTTGCAGAAGTAGACATTACACTGTTCCTGTAGTATACACACACACACACACACACACACACACACACACTCACAAGCAACACAGAAAAGCAGAAAACAATATTCTGGTCCAAACTCTGCCCTTAATAGCTAGGTAATATTGCTCATAGAATGGCGTTATCATTTATTGATTACCTGCTTCTTACATGAACTTCTCTGGCATTTTCCATGTACAGATCTCAAAACATCAGAAAAGTGGACATTGTTTTAGAGAGGAAGAAAATGATCTAGTACCTTGGTCAAAGTCACCTCATTAATAATCAAAAGGACAGAGACTGAAATATAAGTCTGTGACTCTAAAACCTTCCCCA